CGGAGCGGCCGCGGGTGCCGGGGGCTCTTGGCTGGGCCGTGCCGCTGCCCCGTCCCGCAGCGCTCCGGTGGAGAGAGGAGCGAGAGCGGCGGACACAGCGACCGTGCGCGGCATGAACCGGGCTCAGCGCGGCGCCGCGGGGAGCCGCGGCCTGGGAACCATGGAGGTGAAGAGCAAGGTGGGAGCTGCCGCCGCCGCCTGAGGGCCGCGGGCGCGGGGGGAAGGAGCGGGCGGGCCCTGCGGGGCCGTGGGGCCGCGGTGTCGCTGCGGGGACAGGGACAGGGACTGGGACGGGGACAGCTGCTGACTCACCTGCCCGAGCAGCCACCGGGGCACGGCCCCTCCCGGGCCTGAGCGCTCCGCAGGCCGGCGGGCTCGGGCCCGGCGCTCCCTCCACCTGTCCCKGTGCCTTCCGAGCCCTCGGGGCCACGGCTGCGGAAGGTGCTGGGGTCGCTTGCTAGGTGCGCTGTCTGCAGGGAGAAAATAGAGGTGGTTTTGAAGTGGTTTGAAAAAACAGATAAGCGGAGTTGCCCCCCAAGTTTCTGCCCAGACTAAAAGGCGTACAGGGAATATGTGTTGTGGGGAAAGTGTGGGATGACTGGGCGGAAAGAGATATTTAGAGATTTATTTGGGGAGTGGGCTATATGAGCTCCAGAGGTCGCTTCCAACCCTATCAATTCTGTGATAAATCGCAAGCCTTAATACCCACTCTTGGTCTGAATTGCGAGTGTGTTTGTTTAACTTAGTGACTGTTTCTGTAGTTACTTTTTTTTCCGTAATGAATGTGTGTTTCTGTAGTTTCTTGTGGGGTACAATGTAGGCTTACATTGGAGGTAGAGGTAAGCCCTGGCTGCCTTATCTGAAAGTGGAGTTTGCCTTCTCTTAGAGGCCCCAAGAGACTTTTACCCTGGCAGTGTTTCAGGAGTGTGTACCCACACAAATCACCAGTGTCTTGTGCTCAGATCTTTGCATGATTCTGWAAATTATTCTGTGCGTGTATCCACATCTCTCCCATTTTTAATTTTCATTTGCTGGTTAGGCAAAGTTTTGCTGGCGAAGCATCGATATTCTGAAAGAAATTAAAGATTTTTTTTTGTTCTGCTTTATGTTGGTAACTATTTCCAGTTGTAGAACTGTTAGATGTATTAAGTAGAGTCAAGCTACCTCTTTCTCATTGCCTCGGCAGATTGTAAGTGCACCCACATGGGAATGTGTTTTCCTTTGGTGGAAACATGGATCACTTGGGTTGCTCTTTAAAGTGAGGAGCAGCCTGTGTTCTCTGCCTTCCTTTCCTATTAATGAAGCATTACAACAGCAGTGSAGGTGAAGCAGTCAGGACTTGTGTTGTGCAGATTTTCAAGGATAATGCATCATAGTGTTGAAACTTCTGGAGAATGTGTGGTTGGTCTCTACAGCTTGAATGAGGATGATTTCTTTAAAGTGTACATTTTTCATGTGGTCAAAAACAGAAAGCATGGAATATCTGGTAGCTATTATTTAAAATACCAGTTCACTTGCTACCAACATGGTGAATTCTTTTATTTATGCTTTTACAAGGTTGAAAATAATCAGTATATGTGCTTATAAACCCAAATCACTTGTTTCCTCAGCCCAAAACTCTAGGTTTGCTGTTTCCCCACTGTATTTTCCTTGATTTGAAATATGTCTAGGGAATCAGCCATGTGATGTGTTCCTGGTGTYTGTACAGAGAAGTGTAGCTCTAATGAATAGGGATTGTCCCTTAAGTGCATATTATGGAGCAGGATTCAAGGCATTCCTAGAACTACTTGTTGCTAATGCATTATTTAACAGCACCTCAATTTAATATCGCACAGGAGTCATCTTCCTYCTATGAAAATGAGCAATTCTACAGAGAAAGAAGAAAGGGCTGTGTGGGAGGTGAAGGGAGCCATTCCGTGGAGTGGCCTGGGCTTTGAAGGCTGCTCAATGATGTACAGCTCTTTATTTAGATATTCCAAATCAATAATTGTGCCTCAGCTGACAGGGCTGGGCCAGCACAGCCCAACTGTTATTGCAGTTMTATGAGCACAATCCTTTTGTTAGTTCAGTTTATTCAGTTTGGGTAACTGCTCTGAACTTGYCCTGGTGATTCCCTGTAGTACTTGAATTCCAGTCATGGAAAATAGAAATGTTTACCTCAAACTGGAGTTGCTAGTGATGGTGTGGAACCCCCCAAATAAGCTTCTAGTTCTCTAAATACTAAAAATCAGGTTTTCCTCCTTTCTATTTCTTATGACTTGGAATGATATTTTTTTCTGAGTGGAGTCTAATAACTGATATGCCAGAGGAAGTCACTGCAGCTCGTGTTCTGTCAATGCTGGAGACTTGCATAGAGCAGCTTTATGCTGTGTTTTAGAGAACTTAAAAACGTGTCCCATAAGTGATTGTTAAGGGAGTGTCCCTGGTGCCTTCCTGGTGTGCTGCCATGGCTCTCCTGCCTTTTCCCAGGGGAGTTAGCAGGGGAACAGCACGTGTTTGTAAAGAGCTCAGGTGGCAAGGAGCCCTCTCTGCTTAAGTTACTCTTCCAGTCTCTTATCTCCTCTGGAACATCAAGTGCAGGCCTGTTTCATGGGATGGAGTGTAGCATCTGATAGAAAATGCAGACATTTCAGGGGTTAAAATAATGGAATTTCACAGTTGGACTTCTGGTTTTTACCTGCTTTCTGATAATATTGAGCATKTGGCAAACTGTGTTAGGAAATAACCTGTGTTCAGGTTATAAATCTCTTGGTATTTACACCAAATATGTATAAAATAAATGTCACACATTTGAAAATCTGGCCCCTTGCTTGCTGTGGTAGGATTCAACATTATTCCAAACTGAGATTGAGGCKGTTGGCTTTTTAAACTTTTATTACTAAATTATGTTCAAACTATGTAATCCTTGAAAGCCAAGCAGTTTTGATTGCAGCCAAGCATGTACAGTTCTGTGGGGTTCATACCTCCCACAGCTGGAGAAGGATCTGAGACAGGATGAASTCCTTCCCTGACATCATCATTAAACTGTGCTGCCTCTGACGTGATGGGAGTTCCTCCTGTGGGCTGGGCTTTTTTTTTTGTAAGCACGTGTGAATCATCCCTTAAGCCTTAATATTACTGTAACTGCAGGTTTTTTAGAGAGGAATGTTCCCAGATAATTCCTTTATTTGAAACTTTTGGAGGAAGGTGGGGTGGTGAAGGTGTAGTTGTTTTGAGTTAGGGTGGTGTTAATGTGCTAACAACGGGGTCCTTGTCTGCTGATTTTCAGTCCTTTGTATGTGAGAACTCCAAAGCTTTTATTGTCCAAAAGATTTTAATCAGGTGTGAGGTACAGTGCACCTCCACATCTCCTGTGTGTAACATACACCAAAGTATGTGATACTGAGGCTCTAACTTGTGCTCACTGAGCATTTTGTTATATTCACCTTTCTTCTCTGCTTAAAACTAAAACTTGCTAAAGAAATTATTTAAAGTCTTTATTTTCATTGTAGGTCAGCAATAGAATTYACAAAAGAGAGCCCACCAACTGAGGTTTTTTGAATTATTAGCTTATTATCCTTCTAACTCCTATACAATCTGTTCTGGTTTTTGTAACCTCACTGCTGCTATCTCTGAATTCCTTTTAACATCTCTGGTATGTTGTGCATGCGCCTGATATGGAGGGTTTGAAGTAATTTTTATCCAATATTCTGTTTGCTTTGGGTCCTGCCCTTGTTAGGCAGAACACCAACATTTTCCTAGTTATGCGTGGTAACATTGCAATTTGTCTAGTCTACATCAAATGCTCATCCTTTTCTTGGCACCCAGTTGAGTCTTGTGCCTGCCCCCACTGCCTCGTTGCCTTAATAAGCAACGTGTTTTAATTTTAATAAGTGTTTGCTTTAGAGATGRTTTAGGAGACAGAGCTTGAGTGGATTTGTGAGCAAGGGTTATATTGACTACAAGCAAACCCTACCCCTGAAAGTAATGTCAGTGACTTTTTTTTAATATATAATGTCTGAATAATCTCAGATTCAGAAAATGCAGGTTCTATATCTGGATAGAATCAATTTAAAAGATGCTGCAATCAAGATTTGAGCCTTGCCCATGCAAGAAAATCTTCTGAATGCTCTTAGAGGTAGTGGCTGGTGGCCTCTGTTGTCTGTGTCTTTAGGTAGGAACAGAACTGACCTGAGATCAGCTCCCGTGGGCTGCACGGGGATTGTACCAAAAAGCAGCAACAGTTCTTTATGGTCTTCATACTCTAGCGGTGTTTTCATTTGCTGGYCAAACAACTTGGGGTGTGAAGGCTGCTCAGCCTTGCGTGGGTGARCCGCGGTTGTGTAACAATCTCCACACGCTGTTCTCAAGGGCACTGGTAGTTCTTGGAACAAAATTCCAGGTAGTCACATACCACAGGAGGTTAATCACAGGTTTGGTTTGAGCCACCACAGCACTGCTGCTTCTGGATTCTGTCCCTCACTGAGGTTGCTTCATGAGCATGTGAGAAGCTGCAGTTATCCCTGCACCAGTTTGTCACCTTAATTCTGATGAGCTCCCGTTAAATGGAACAGCCTTTGCATTCTCAAAAGTACACGATCTGTCAGGTACAAAAATAGTTATAACTTACGGGGGAAAACCCAACTGTTTTAACTGATTTTTTTATACCCCTTCTAAGTTATTGCTTGTAGATTTTAGTGTACTTTTAATTCCATAAGGTTTCTGGTTTAACATTAAAATAATTTTATTGCTTCAATATTAATGATGTAAGATATATTTTGTTSTAGTTTGGAGCAGAATTTCGACGGTTTTCTCTGGAGAGATCCAAACCTGGAAAGTTTGAGGARTTCTATGGATTACTGCAGCATGTGCACAAGATCCCAAATGTTGATGTTTTGGTGGGATACACGGACATTCACGGAGATTTGTTGCCTATCAATAATGATGACAATTATCACAAAGCAGTTTCTACAGCCAATCCTCTACTCAGGATTTTCATTCAGAGAAAAGGTACGTGCATTTGAAGAATGTGAATTATCCGTTTATCCAGTTACAGTGTGATGGATGGAGGAAAAAACCCTTCAGTCCTATTTCATCATGTCAAATTCTGTAATAATTATGGGTCGTGAAAGGTATTCACAACTTGTCTCTCTTACAAGAGCTTCCTCAGGCAACCTATTTGAGTGAGGGCTGCTTGGTTTCTCTGCTCTGGTTGAGTGTTCCTACTGTCTGCTTTTGTTCATGAAGGGAAAAAAATCKCATTAGAAGTTTGTATTTGTTCTTGTGGTGTTCACTGTTCCTGGGTGTTGCTAAGACAGGCGTCATTTCCTTAGAAAATACTTGGGCATCAGAACCTTTTATCAACTTTCCCACTCCAAAACAKGAACAAGTCCACAACAGCCTGATGCAAACCCAATATTCACCACCAGTGTGGCTGTTTGGCAGCTGCTGTGTGCTGGCAAAACGTTTGTTTTGTTTGTGTTGATAGTTTAGACTGGTAAAGCCTGTGTTTTTATAGTGCTGAAATGCCAGAGGCATGAACCATTTRCTTTAGCAGAACCTGGAGGTAGACAAGGTCTATGATTCCATTTAATCCCCTACAGTAGCCATATGACAGGAAGGGATAAGCCACTTTGTCAGACTGGGATTATTGAGTTTATATTTTAACACCRTATGCTTTTAGATTGTTCCTAGTGTGACAGGTCTAATGTTGCCTGTTCCTGGTGTTACATTTGCAATGCTTTTTTAGTTTCTTACCATCATTTACCTTGATTTAATCCAGGTGGATTATTTGTTACTGCTCTGGTGCCAGGGGTRATATAATTCCCAGAAATGGAAGATTAATCCATTTTAGTTTCTCAGAACAAGAATTGACTGGAGGAAAAGCTGTGTGGAAAGTATCAGGTATCACCTCCTTCCCTTGGACACAAGATCCCTCTGCCTGTGGAGCTTTAGGCAGTAAAGAGCCCAGGCTGGCACCATAGTCCTCCACTGCACTTTGTTGTGAATTAGTTGTGCCTTCATTGGCATCTTTGCCATATAGAGTAGATGATTGTTTGATGGAAAATACAGAAATAACTTTATTCTGTAGTATAAAGTTTTTTAGTATTTTAGTTGTGATTTATTTAGTATTTTATTTGTGATGATTTGCCTGTAACCAAGGCCGAATTGGTGGGAGTTAGTTCATATTTTTATGCAGCATGATTTAAGTGTGCTTAATTCRTGGATTGCAGCAACCTTCCTGGCTCTGCCTCTGAAATGGAAAAGAAATGTCTGACCCAATACCTCTATCAATGGGGCTGCTTTGATCTGTGCTGGTTTGGAATGATAATAAGTGACACAAGTTATTTTCCACCTGCAAGGCTACTTGTGGCTTTCATGCATTCTCTTAAATCAGCTGAAAAATTTTTGTGCGTTTTGTAATGGAACTTTGACTTCTTTTATATTTCCAGCAACAGTAGTTGTGAATTTAAGATCTTTGACAAAAAGCCACTGTGGGGAAGAGAGAAAGTGTTTTGCTGTCTTATATGAAATTTTTGTCATGCTGTCTTAACTATTTAGAAACCACATGTAATTTGTGCAAAGCTAATTYAAGGTATGAGCAGACTGTGGTGAAATCTGATGTAAATAGTATTAACTTCTTAGTATATTGAATCCAAGGAACACCTTGAGGGCTGAAATGAGAGCTCAGAGATGGTTTTACTTTTGTTAATAAGTGATGGTTGTGATAGTGGGACTCCAAAATTTGGGAAATGTTGTTATGCCAGAGTAAGCATTCTTATCTCCTGTTTGATTTTGATTCCTTGTTTCTGAAACTATCAGTTTGTACTGAGTAAGAAACCTAAAGATCCTGTAATGAAATCACATTATTTCCCTTAGACCTCTCTAACTGTATTTCACTGAATTCCTTTAAAATACTTTAAAACTGCTCCAGTGCTAAATCCAAACYGGGGTTTGATRTTGCACAAGTCAAGATTGTCTGTCAGCTTGCAGAAAACATTCCTTGCTGGAATTTTGTTCTGCAGTTTAACAGATTAACAGGTACTGTTGACATCTGGTATTTAAAGGTTAAACTGATGTATTGTGATTAAATCCAGATGTATGGGAGTCACTCTGTCTGTGAGAAAAACCCTGCTGAAGAGAAAATGGAAGGGAACAGTGCACAGGCTGGAGGGCAGCTTGATGTGGGCAACTTTGCATTGTAAATACAGAACAATAGAGATAACAGAAGATACATTTCATTACAATATCCTTAACACTCCCTTGTAGGATATTAAATTACAATATCCAACTCCTGCAAGTTTGGCTTGTATGTGGCTGTATGTAGTGAAAAGTGGATTCTTTGGTTAATCCACTTGTGCCTCTTGCGACAGACTGTCACTGAGAAGCTTTATTTTGGTGAGAAGTAAGAGGAGTTGGCTTTTTAAACAGCTCTTTGTGGACTAGCCTAGCTACTCTGAGGCCTCCTCCTAGAAACACAGGTTGCTTTCCTAAAACCRTATTTTGTTATATTTTGTGACTAAAAAGGATGTTTGTTTGGTCTTATTTTAAAAATGCTAAATTGCCTCTTTATTTAAATGTACTAACTACTTGAGGGCTTTGAAAATTGAGTTCTCAAGGGGTAACTCTACATTGGTTTGCAAATAGATCAGAAAAACATTTTAAAAATCTGTATTGAATAATGTTAAATTGGAACCAGATTTGGCATTTGTGGGCTTTTGTTTTCAATTTCATATAATAAGTCTGTACAGATTGGTGCCACCTTGAGCTGGAAACTGCTGGGGGGAGAAATCTTCCTGCACTGTGTGGATGTTCTCCTTCACACTATCTGTAGTTAACACCTTGTCCTTTTGGCTTTAGGCCAAAATATTTTTCGCTGGGCCTTTAAACTGATTAGTGAGGTGCCAGAACAAAGATGCCTTTGYACTTGAGAGTATTGCTTTAGAAAACTTGTTTAGCAGTGGAAGAGAGGTTACCCAGAGTGTGCTGTTCTGCTGAGATTTGGGGAGATGAGTTTATCAACATTTCACTATATTTTTTCCTCATGAATTCTCTAACCTTAACTGTCTATCTTAAGGTTTGTGCTTRTTCTGAATTATCAAACTATTAAGARCACTTATAATGCAAAWACTTACCTTCTAGTGTGTCAGTTCCTTAAATGTTTTGACATCTGGCTTGAAGTTTTGGGATGCTTTTATTTCAGCAATGTGTCCTGTAACTTAAGAAAGTTATTAAAAACAAAAGCACCAGCTCAATTTAAGAGTTCTGATTTGTCTTCTGAAAGAGACTTTTAAAGTTCCTCTCTTTTCCAAGAAATGTTTTCCTGCTCTTAGTTTTTGTTTAAAAAATCCCTTTGAAACTGTTGTTTTGCAGACAGACATATTTACATAATATTTCTTTCRAAGCCAGTCCTGTTGCAGCTGATCTTCGTGTGTCTCTACTAACTGGAAAAATTTATTTGGACAGAAGTTACCAGCTTATAGTGTTTGATTGKCACCAATCTGTTGGGACCTGTGTCCTGCAGCTGTCATCAATATGCACTCTAGCAGSAATGAGTGCAAGTGTCACACTTTCTTTAAAACAGTGAAAGGTATTTAAAGCAAGRCCTGTCTAGGATCTGATTTCACAATTGTCCTTTCCAGGTTGTTTTGTAAACAATTGTAATTCTAACTAAAAAAAGAGAAGCTATTGCACCTCATTGAATTGCAAAAATTCTTTCAATGAAACACCAGATGTATAACTGGAAACTGGTTGGTTGGGTTTTCAGGAGAGATAAGGGCAAAAYTTCTCACATTTTTTTCTTTGATCTTAAATTTTTAGCAAACATTAAAAGAGCTGCTCCATGCTGTCTGAAAAGTCAGCATGTTAGTTGTCAGCAATGGWGTACAGAGTTTTAACCTGCTGATCTTGAGTCAGTTAGAGATCCCAAAGGGCCTTTTACAGAGAAAAGGCTAAGTTTGAATGTTTGTAGTTGTTTTACTTCAGACATAGTTCACCAAAACATGTTGATGAACTATTATGTATACACAAGCCAGGAGCTGACAGTAAATCCCTTTGAGGTTTTTTTGTGGGCTAATTTAAATTTGTTTCTTTTCCTGTTGTCCTTTATATTTTAGACTATCAGGTCCAAAGCTGCCTTCGTAGAGCAGCCAAAGGAGTGTTCTTGTTTTCACCAACCCTAAAGGCTGGGAAGGCAGGARTTAGTGTTAGATRCTGCAGYGGTGTTAACCTGTTGTTTCAGGAAWACTTTCTCYRTTCTATTTTGCTTAAAGCATCTGAAGAGTCCAGCTCTAAGTGGTACRTGTGTATATGGGACTCTAGGAACAAGTGCACTCATTGATTTCCTCAGCAACTGGCAGCTGTCCTCAAGTGTCACCAGGGCAGCATTGCCACAGACTGAAAGGTACAGCCATTCTTCACTTTCTGGCTGTGCCAATGGCATCTGAATGTGATAATACAAAGCAATCCCAACTTTGGGTCCGAGGGTTAGTGCAAGTTAGTTAGTTCTGTGTGATTATCGGCGAGTTTTCCACTGCAGAATAAAGATCTGTGCCATGTTGCAAAAGTACAAGTGTGAATCTGAGGAAACTCAGATCTGAATGTATTTAGGTTCATTCTTTTTGGTGAGTTATAGCATATTAAAAAGAAAGATGGAACCTTTGGTAAATAAGCATTTCAGAAATCAGGATTGCTTGCACAGATYGTTTTTCCTTGTCCCTTAGAAGTAGTTGTAGGACTAACATGTTTTGGTTTTTTAAGTTCTAAGCCATTTGCCTATTTCTGTATCAAGTTGTGGCAGTTACAGCATTGCTTGCATGAACAGTTTTGCTTGAAGTATTTGTGTGCAAGGTCTCTTTGTTTCTGCTCCACAGCCATTTTACCTACATGGCGTGGGGGCAGGGAAGAGTGCAGAATGGAATAAGCTTTCTGGAGTTTGAATCCAGGTCACTTGGCTGGCTCCCAGCAACTAGGCAATAATAGGCACACTGGCTGCTTTCCCTTTTTCATTCTTTCTTTTCCAATGATCTGAAACCTGAGGAGAGAAAACTAGCAAGTGGAATTACTCTGAATTAAATTAAAATGTTTCTAGGAATGTGCTCACTCTTTCCATTCTACCCTTTCTCTCAAGCAGCTGTAGCTCTTTGTTTCTGCTGCTGCTAACTTGCTTTAATTTTTTTGTGCACTTTTCTTTTTGGTAGAAGAAAACCAAAAGTATGCCATACTTTGAATCTGGTAACATTGAAGCTTTTGTTCGGTGAGTAGAGGGAAGGGTTTTTACTGTAGTAAGGCAGACACTTTCTAGATGAGATCTTTGCCTCTGTTGAGCTAAAACACGCCAGCAATGTGACCTGGCCGGGTCTGGCTCTGTCTAATCCCCGTGTGCTCTGTCTTGCAGAAGATGCAGACTACAGTGCCTTCGGGACGGATACCATGACCAGGAAGAAGAACGTCYTATCCAATGTGTTGCGTCCGGATAACCACAAGAAGAAGCCCCACATTGTCATTAGCATGCCCCAGGACTTCAGGCCAGTGTCCTCTATCATAGACGTGGATATTCTGCCCGAGACCCACCGCAGGGTGCGGCTCTACAAGTACGGCACCGACAAACCCCTGGGCTTCTACATCCGGGACGGCTCCAGCGTCAGGGTCACCCCGCACGGATTGGAGAAAGTGCCGGGCATTTTCATATCCAGGCTGGTCCCAGGAGGGCTGGCTCAGAGCACAGGCTTGCTGGCTGTCAATGATGAGGTACTGGAGGTGAATGGGATCGAGGTGTCAGGAAAAAGCCTCGATCAGGTTACAGACATGATGATTGCAAACAGCCGCAACCTGATCATCACGGTCAGACCCGCCAACCAGAGGAACAACGTCGTGAGGAACAGTCGGACTTCGGGCAGCTCTGGCCAGTCCACTGAGTCAAGCCTTCCCAGCAGCACACCCAACATCCTGGGAAGTCTGCTGCAAGGAGAAGAGGAGAGCGATGAGGAGGACATTATTATTGAAGACAGCGGGGAGCCACAGCAGATCCCAAAAGCTGCRCCTACCAGCGAAAGCATAGAATCCTTATCACAAATTGAACTCCTCCATGAGTCCACACAAAATGGATTCCTTCCTTCCAGTGAGCTGAACTTGAATCACTCAGCAGGCAGCATTAGCATGGAGTATGAAGTACCAGAGCCAGGCCGTAAGTCGTTAGAAGAAGAGGGAACTATTATAACACTATGAAATTACATTGGTGTACTTTGTATAAGTAAAGATGCCATACATGTTTTAATTGGGCTTAATATGTAATATATTTTATACCTCTCCATCTATCAAGCACTGCAGTTAGATTAAAAGGAGGGAAGAAGGTAAATACGAGAAATTCAAAATTATGTAAGTTGACTAACTTCATTAATTCTGCACTTCAATGTAAATAATTCACAAAGCTGGAAGATAATTGATAAATGTCTGAAACTAAATGAGGAAAATTTAAATTCAAAATGAAGGATAGCTAAGAGATGGCTGTGAGCTCTCTTTTAAAGGTACTTGATTTTTATTATTTTTTTAATGCTCTATACTACTGGTTCTATAGAAGTAAACTTTGTTACGTGTGAGGTTGACTCTCATATACTGYGGTTTCCTGTTGCTCTGAAGTGCTGCTTACATGTGATGGAGCTGCTTTAGCCCCCTCCCTCCTGTCCTGGGCTGCTGCTCCACTGGCAGAGCTGTTGGTGGGCTCTGTGCAAGAGGAAACCAGGAGAAAGCCAGAACTGGGCTGGCATAGAGGGGGTGGCTGGTCTGGATCTCTGGCTGACACAGGGACAGCAGGRCTCTGTGGCAGCACCTGCACTCAGGCTTTGGAGGTGACTGTTCCTTTGTGAGTGAATGTGCAACCACAGGCTCCCTAGTCAGGCACGGTACTGGTTTTAATGGCCAGGTAAGCTTACCTTTTATGACTCTGATTTTGAAATTCAAATGTGAAAGTCTTAAACTAATGCATCAGAGACCTGTTCGCATTCTAGTTTGCAATTTTTAGGGATACCATTGGATTTAATTGCTAATCCCAGTAATTTACAAACAAATCAAATGTAAACTTAATGCTATGGAAATAGCATAATGTAATCTGTCCAAATTGCAGTCCTAGTAGAAGCTGTAAAGATTTCTACCTGCAAAGGTTTGTTGGAATGAGTCTGAATTATATAAAAGTGACTTTCAAACCTGAACAAGTTAGAACAGTTTAAGTTAAATCCCTGAATTAAAAGAAGTTTTTAATCAAAATGAGGCTTTACTACAACWTGTTTGAGCCATGTGATATTAACTTATTCATTTATTAGGAACTGATCTGTAAATGCAGATCCCTGTGTGTCCCTGGATGTTTGTTTTGGGTATTGCAGAGTTGCTCTGTGTGTAAMCACTGCTGACAAGTCCTGATGCTGCAAGAGCAAAGGTGGGTGTGTGTAACCACTGCRCTCACTGGGACAGTTGCAGGGGAGGCTTTTAGTGTTGTTCTYATCCTTCCCCTTTTGTGTCTCATGCTTTACCACTTTGGCACTCGGCTCCCAACCGTTCTCTGGGAACAGTTGTGACAGGAAGATGAGATGGGAACTAACAGGATTGGGGAGAAGGATGACTAGATCTTTTCCCCAGGGATCCTGKGACCTCTGTCAGCCTGTAAGGAGTAGGGTGCTACCAGTTCTGTCCTGTGTTCCTGTGCTCCCTAGAGCAGGAGTCAGGTGCTTGTGTGTGTTCCACCCTCTGGGAAGAYGTGATGAGTGGGAAAGGAGACTGACCCCTTTCTTTTTTCCCTTCAGTCTATCTGGAGGAAAATCTACCTCTGGTAACTTTGCTAACAGAAGACCAACTGTAAGTTTAATGTTAAAGCATCTGTAAAAGTCGTCACAGACTGCATTTAAGGTTTTTGTGACGATGCAAACACTTCTGCAGAAATAAATCCCTGCTGCTTGATGTTAAAAAATGTACATTTGAAATTGTATCTCATGAGCAGTAGCATTTTCAAAGCTCCAATGCCACTAGAGTCCAAAATGCCAAGAGAGGCATCCATACCCCTTTGGATTTATGGAGAATAGGCACAGCAGGCAGTGGTACTCTGTAAATGCAGGTAAGGGCTCTTTTGTCACACTTACTTATGGTTTCTTCAGTGTGTGTATGGAGAGCTCTGGAATCTTTTGCAAGAGCAAGATCTTCAAGCGTTTGACTTGTTTTGCCAATAATTATGAAAAATGAAGAAACTACATCCACCTAGTGTGACATGAGAAAAAGAAATGTTCATTCTGCAACATGGAGACTTTACTTGTACATGTTTTCTCTCAGTGCTGCTCTACACTTCCTCTCTTTAGGGAAGATGGTTTACTTCAAAAATRTATTTTTTATTTTCCTTTATCAAAATACTTTCCTTCCTGTATGAAATCACCAGTGGAGGGTGAGACTCATTATTCTGCTAGTTTGCACTTCTGTGCCTTTGGTTTACTTGAATGTATTGTGAATAATCAAAGGAATAAAGGCACTTGGATGGGAAGAGAAGAGAGGTCCAGAGGTACAGAGAATGAACTGGTAGTGCACTTAATGCAGGTGTAATGTTTTCATTCCATTGAAATCCATTTTGGGGCTGATGTGGTCCATGAGGATTTTGCAGATTGGATCAGGCTGGGGGATGCCTTTGCCTGGAAAGGCTGAGCCTGGGAATGCCCAGCTGCCCAGGAAATGAGCTGGTCCCAGCCCCAAGGCTGCTGTGCATGGGTAGTTTGAATAATATGTATGCCAGTATTAAGGACTTGTAGAAATTTAACTGGGGTCCTACTCTAAATTGCATGAGACTTCATCTCTTAGGACCTTTCCTGCAAGCTGAGTAATCTAAACGTGAGATAATGTTCTTTCTGACATATATCATGTTCTGTTTCACAGAAATTTGGTAACATATAGTAAAACTAAGCATTTGGGACTTGATAAAAACATTAAAGCATAAATCTAAAAAATGTGTATTTAGTTACGATGACAGACTGCACAGCATGTAATTGCTTAATGCTGCAGTTACCATAAAGTTTCTAAAGTTCTTCCATATCTTACTAATACATACACTGTTAATTAYAAAAGACTTTTAAATTGCTACTTCAGGATGATCAATGGTTGATTATGAGTGGCTAAATTTAATTTTATATACAAATGATACTGGGGTTCAGTATAAGGTTTTTTAAATATGCTGATATTGTTAGCCTTTCATTCACTACCTCCTAAATTTTTAACATCTATACTGTTTTCTCCCTGGAAGACAATACTTAAAGGCTTGACTGTTTTATATAAATTTTATCTTTAGCTAAAAAAAGAAGAAAAAATCCAGAAGTGATAGTGAGGATGCTGCGCATGATTGACAATATTACGCTGCTATTGATGTAATCTTTGTGTATTAAGTATCMTGTGTGTGTAAATTGTGTTTTCAATCCAGATTTTATAAATTAATTTATGAAATATCCAAATTATTTCAGAATGGAATGAAAAACTAAAATTTCTTTGACTAGTGTTACACATTGTGTACATGCACAGAGGGGGGGACAAGTCATTCCCCCCTTACAACTGAGAGATCTAAGTGCACCTTAATAGGAAGAACAAATTCTTAGTAGAATTAAGATGCATTTACTTTGAAGTTCTGCTCTGGTACTGGAGAAGTCAAGCCTAACTGTGAATCATATTTTTTTTTCCACACCTGAATTAAATTTAGGACAACGTTCTCACAAGCTGTCTTTAACATGTGTATTTTTGTGAATATTATGTATTTTCTAATTAAATTTTACTTGCAATGTGATTTTTACATGAATGAACTTGTTTAAAATGTCAAATATCAGTATTTTTCTTACAACTTTAATGTATAATGTACATTGGTATCTCACCGAATGAAGATTGATTTTACAAAAATCAAGCTAGATGTAGTTGTATATTAGTCTTATATTTTTACAGACTGAAATAATAAATGGATATAGAAATAAAATGCATTTTCTCGATTACTCCATCACATAAATCAAAATGAGGAAGGATGTATCCTTTTTGTGTGACAATAGAGAGGCTGATTTTTTTTCCCCTGGCCAGCTGATGAGGCTGTGTTTTGCTGGCAGTTTTCTCCGTGTGCTGTCTCTGTTTTTTCCCTGGAGCAGATCTGTGTGTGTTGGAAGCCCCAGGAATTCCAGCCCTGTGTCCCTTGGTGCTGCTGCAATAGTGCATGGCCTGCCTGAGGACTGCTCCTGRAGAGCTTGGGTCCCTCCTGCTCTGTCACCTCTCTCTGCTGCTGCTGCTGTGAGTGTCTGCTGCAAGTGTCCGGCTGGCAGTTTGAACTCAAACCCATTTCACTTGCAAATGTTTTCTCCCGTCCCTTTTGCCTTGGCAGCCCTTGTAAACATTTACCCAKGGAGGAGAGGTTTGGCTGTGCTTTRTGTGTGGCTTTTGTTTCTGCTGCTTTGGGGCTGAGCACAGGTTCTGCTCTGCACCTCACCTGTGTCTGTGGSACTGGTTTGTTTGTGTGCTCAGTAYTTCCCATCCCTGCAGGTGTAGCCGTGGGGAGGGGACRGAAAGGCTGAGATCAGCATTGCAGTGTCTCAGAGCAGCCCAAAGAACCCAGGCTGCTTCCCTGGGCATTGGAGCTGGGGGAGGTTTCCTCTCTTTGCACAGGACACTTGGAAGGAATGCTGAAACCGGTGTGGCATTCTTGAAACGATGTGAGATCTCTACAAATGCATCCTCTCAGTGTTCCCTGGCTCGGGCACCGGGCATGGGTCACCCACTGAGGCTGCAGAGCAAAGACAGGAATGTGTCCTTATAAATGCCTCTGTCTGTGAGGGTAAAGTGAGCCTGATAGAGCTGGTTCTGCGTCCAGGGAATGAGACTCGAGTGCACTCACACAGGTCAGCAATGCTACTTCTACAAATCACTCATACCTACACACAGTCTTCTTAAACTGAGAAACTCATTAAAAGGAAGACTAACTTTCCCTACTGCTGCCTCCTTGAGGAAGGAATGCAGCTGTTAACTGCATCTGTCCTTTAAACCCAGCAGKATTTAACTTTTCTCAAGGTGACAAGCTCTTAACAAGGTGTTAGAACTTGAGGTATTTTATAAAATTGAAAATTAATGTATGGTTACAGTTACAAAGACTCCCCAGGATTTCCRTAAGTAATCAAGTGACAATCCTTCTCTTCCTGATACATTGACAGGAGAAAGATTTCGACTAGTGCTAAATAGCCCTTTGAAGCTTTTTTGTTATCTTAAAATTATCTGTGGCATTCTAGTTACGGACTTTGCAGAATTACTTCTTCTGAAGACATGTTCCTTGCAAAACAAGTGTCACTCTCAGATACTAGGATGTAGTTGCATGTGGTAATGCTGGAGAGGAATAATCAGCCTTCAGGTATCTTCATGAATGGTTTCCAATGCTGGCATGAGGAAAGGCGTGTTGGATGGTAACAATATTTTTGGATGCTGTAGAAGTATGCAATAGATGGTACGGCTGGTCCTTGGAGAGGCGAGATTGCAGCCAAGATGTAGGAATTCAGATTCCTGGTGCAGTTCTGACAGATCACTTGTGTACTTTTCCTCTCACACAGGAGATAAATTTGTCTCTGGGGACTTAGCGTTGTGTGCTTGATGTAAAAGTGCTTTAGAGCCATGAAGCACTAAGCGATTAAAGAAGTTCTGTGCTGTTAAACCAGCAGTTCTTATACAGAGTTCAGAAGAGTTGGGGCATCGTGGTGGCCTGCCCCAAGCAGCCAGGTAATTTAGGAATAGCAATTTCCTCTAGTGCATAGCTCCCAATTTTCATTCTGATATTTAATCTTGTGTAGCAGTTGTAGCCCATGAAACTACACTGCTGATGAATGCAAACTAAGRTTGGTGTAGTCCAGTAGAAGCTTTTGCCCAGTGGAAGGTGTCACACCTCTGCTGCAGGACATGATTGTGTCTGGTTTGAGTA